GAAATGGACCACATTCTGATAGATGTTACGTTGATATTAGAGTCACGCCAGTTAACACTCACAAACCACAATTCGTAATGCCTGAATTAACAAATGCAACTGTCGAGGTACCCGAGGTACGTGCATTAATATAATTTAAATGTATGTAATAGATATACGTTTGTAATACATTAATTATAAAATTAATTTGTTTTACTGATAACATGGAAAATCATAAGAATAATTAACGTAAAAGATTAATGAATTTTAGAACGCCGGCGTACCAAATTATTTAATACTAACTGTGAAAGCTATCGATCGTGACCCTGGTGAAAATGGACGAATTAGTTATCATTTGAAAGTTGGAAATAAAAATGTACAAGAAACCGAAGAATTTTTGATAGATCAGGAAACTGGTGAACTACGATCGAAGATCATACTCGATCGTGAGATTAAAAGTAAATTTGAAGTAAGTTTTTTTTTTCTACAAATATAAATTACGAACAAACAAATAAATACGTATAAACATTATTCATTTTCACTTTAGCTTGTCCTGGTAGCAACTGATCATGGTACACCAACAGCCTACGAAGCTTTACGTCTTTTAACGGTTCAATTAGTCGACACTAACGACAACGTACCACAATTTTACGACGAGTACAATTTTCAAATATCTGAAAACCGTCCTAAGGATTATTTCGTAGGTAAAGTAACTGCTCAGGATGAGGATGAAGGTAGACACGCTAAAGTTTACTATTACATAGAAGCAGGTTTGTAATAATCATTTGATTTTGAAAGACTGTATCAATTAATCACGTACTTTAATTGTTTTTCTTGTTATTTTTTAAATAATTCTAGGTAACGAAGGTTACGCATTTTACATGGATAAATCGGATGGTAGCATATACGCAAACAAATCATTCGATCGTGAGGCAAGAGACAAATATGTTCTATCCATTCTCGCATCCAACAATCCTGACCTATATATCAATCCAACGGAAGCAGGTCGTCCCTTATCACTAAGTTCAGATCATGGTCATGTTAATGTAACGATCTTGATTCTCGACGAAAATGATAATCCACCTATCTTCGAAAGAAACGATTATTATGCTGGAATTAATTCTATGGCTAACGTTAACGATTTCGTTACCAAAGTAGTTGCATCTGATTTGGATGTTGGTGACAATGGTACGCTTCATTATTACATAGCTGGTGCCAATTTGTATAAATATGGATCGGACAAGCCTAGTGGTTCGATAATACCAAGCCCATTTAATGTCACGCAAGATGGTAAATTAATAACCAGTGGATATATGGCTGAATATAATCAGGATAGATTTATCGTTGAAGTTATAGCCAAGGAGACAGCCATTCCAGAGAGATACGCAATGACTCGAGTTCATGTAAGACATTTTAATCACAATATTTATTCATATTAATTTTAATTTTTGTTAATTATTATCTTTTTTTTCTTTTCTTTTTTTTTATATTAAGGTATGGGTATTTGAACCATCACAATTGATAAGAGTGATCTTATCACGACCACCGGAAGAAGTTAACAGACAACGTGATGAGATTGTTTCTGAATTATCGAATGCTACTCAAAGTAGAGTAGTCGTAGATGATATTAGATATCACGTAGATGCTTCTGGTCATATTAGAAGAGAATGGTAAGATGATTAATTAATTAATAATACATAAATATAATTATTTGGTTTTTTTTTATAATTGTATTATCGTTTTTGATTTAGGTGTGATATGTATTTGCACGTGGTAGAATTAAAAAGTCAAACGATAGCTCCGGTACCGCACGTTCTCAAAGTCATTGATGCCAAATACGATTTCTTAAAAGATTATTACGCCGGCTTTGCCATAGAAAACGTAGTGGTAAGTATTTTTTTTTTTTATATTTTAACTGTGTATCATAAATTAAATAATAACTAAAACAAATTTAAATTGAATATTTCGTATTTCAGCCAGCTTATGCTGGAGTTCAAGAGGAACCTTTTGATCCTGCGTTAGCAGCTTTGATAGCTTTATTAGTCGTTTTACTAGTAGGTGCTGTTACAGTTACAGTAGTTTGTTGCTGTTTACGGCATTGGTAAGTTTTTAAAATTATATATATATATCTTTTTTAAAAATAATATTCCACCTAAAATTTGTATTAATTAATTTTTATTTCACTTCAGGGTAATTACTGTGCCAAATGATATTCGTAAGAAGGATGGTTTGATAAAGAAACAAATAATCGATGAATTAAATACAACGGAAAATCCTTTATGGATTGAACAGTAAGGAATTAATTTTAACATATTTAAATATATATTCCAATAACTATTAATTTTTATAAAAAAATAAAAATATTGAAATTGTATCGATTTACAGAAAATTAAAATTATACGAAGAACAAGAATTAACGATGCAAGTATTCAGCGAACCCGAAGGTGGTCTTGGTTTGGAAAGACGTGGAAGTGGTGTAAGCCTTGGTATGGGTGATACGTCTCAAGACAATACTTATGCTACTATTCAACACCCGTTACCAGCAAATAGGCATCGTTCTACTACTCCAGATTATACGACTCTTCCAGGAAATCATAATGTTTGTAAATTAATCTAAAACGTTCGTCTATGATAATCGAATTAAATTATTATCAAATTTATAATATTAATCATAATTATTGGTGTATTTTGTTGTTGTTGTTTTTTTTTAAGGATGTAGGTATTTAATTTATTAGATTATTATACATTTATCATTTTTCCTTTAGTTATATGAATCAGCAATGGGATTTCAAGGTTCAACGTTTCAGCCATCGCCAAATGTAATGCCACAACTAACGCTGGACCGAGACGGCCAACCCCAATTTGTTTCAGGGCTAGTATAAAGATAAAATTAAAAAAAAAACAAAAACAAAAAAAATAAAAATAATACCTTGGCGCGGAAGAAAAAGAAAAAAAAAAGAAAAACCCTTTTCATCTATACGTAATTATAAAAGAACAAAAACAAAAAAAAAACCAAAAAAAAATCGCCGTACGTTGTACCTCTTTATCTACGGCTCTGTCTATTGCACGCGCCTCTTTAAAGAAAAACTAATTAAAAAAAAAAAAAAAAATTAAAAGGCTCGCATGCACACACCTCTGAGACAATAACAGAATAGTTAAATGTGTTATTTCGTGAACGGAGACGGGATATTATAATTGAATAGATTCGTTTGCGATGCACATAGACGCGTGTAAAAGAAGAGCGCAAGATATTTTTTGTTTTATATATCTATATATATTTTTTTTTCTCAATTTCCGATATAAATGAATTTACTTCATTTTGAAATTCGAGTTCATTCCATGATGACAGTATTAACGAATAAAAAATTTTGATGGAATGGGAAAGGGGAAGTACGAGAAGAAGGAAGAGGAGGAATATTTTGAAGGACAACGACGAATGATAGTCAATATATTAAAGGAGAAAAATATATCCTGTAGCCGGTGTGTGCATGTATATATGTGTGCGTTGCCAACCTGGAGTCCTATCTATAATTTATCGTTAGAATTTAGTATTAGGGAAATCAAAAATACTAGCTCATAGATCTTAAATGAAAATATTAAGGGGAATAAATAGATAGAAGACCGAAGCTTGGCACGACAGATATATGTATATAAATGAATGTGTAGATTCCGTCCAGCCCAGTTTTTATTATTATTATTATTATTATTATTATTATTATTATTATTATTATTATTATTATTAAAATTAATTATTATTATTGATTATTATTAAATATTATATATACGGGGTGTTAGGTTTTTCCGGTCAAATGGTGTCAGCGTATTCTGCGGATGAAAATAAGAAAATAATATTACATGAACATAAGTCATTTTTAATAAATCTTTAAATGAAGCTTTAACCCTGATGCAATTTTGATGCAGCCCTGTATATATATATATATATATTATACAATTTTTTAATTACTTTTAATATTTATATATATATATTATATATCTTCAATTTATATGATGTAGTTGTTTTTTAAGAGAGGTGGTATCGTTAGTTAAATGCCATATATATAAGTTACATCTTTTCATATTTTAACAAAATTTTAGGAGAGTTTATGGAAATTAAAGTTTTTCGATTATACATATATACGTTCGTTTTATATATTTAGTATTATTATATACTAAGAATACTTATGCTACAAACCTCTTATATATATTTATATATATGTGTGTTTGTAGATGGCCCTAAAACTCATATCATCTAATCTATTAAACATAAGTTATTTAAGTTGACATTAAATGACTGACATTGTCTGATTAATCTGTGATTTGATTATGCTCGAATTAGAGCGTGCTGATTTGTTTTTAGGTAATCCGTATAAAACATTATGGAAGTTACTGGAGATGGGCGGATATAGTTGTATGAATTAGATAAATGATATTGCTTGCAGTGAATTTCAGTAGAATTGAACTTAATTCAAAAATGAAAAAGAGTAAAAAAAAGAAATTAATTCTACTCATGACATATATAATATCATCTTTCAAACATTCATTCAAAACCGTCCTTCTTCAATGCTAAGAAAATTAAAAAAAGAATATGCGCAGTTGTCTTTGGATTTCACTGCAATCAATTGTCACCGTAAAATATATCTTATACTCCGAGAACGGTAACTTAACTTCGATCGAGTTATTTCTATGAACATGTACTGTAAAACTATTATCAGCATTATGATATTACTAGATGGTTATAAATATTCCAGTTAGCAAAAGTGTCTGTTTATTAATTACAAATTTATTGTAATATTGTAACATATTTTATGTAAGTGATTAATAAAAAATATTCGTACATCAAATTTATTAAACGATATTAGTGACTGTACAATTTGTGGATTGAGCCTCGTCCTGATTTACATTGAGATTATTATCAGATTTATTTTCTATCCTCGTATTA